CTGTAGCCCTGTAGCCCTGTAGCCCTGTAACCCTGTATCCTGTATATCCCGTATACCATGTATCCCTGTATCCTGTATATCCGGTATACCCAGCATTCCAGTATTCCTGTATTCCTGTATCCTGTGTATCCGGTATACCCTGTATCCCTGTATCCCTGTATCCGGTATTCCCTGTATCCCTGTATCCCTGTTTATCCTAGACTGCTACGGTTGATTTGCTGTCAAGCATCCATGAGAAAATATTGAGTGTCTAAACTATTCTTAAGTTAAATCAGAAAACAAATGTAAAGGCTAGAGGAGGGAGGAGAGAAGAGGAGGGGAGGGGGGGTTAGAAGTGTAAATATAGGAAAGGTAGGATAGAAGTGTAAATGTAGGAGAGGTAGGATAGAAGTGTAAATGTAGGACAGGTAGGATAGAAGTGTAAATGTAGGAGAGGTAGGATAGAAGTGTAAATGTAGGAGAGGTAGGATAGAAGTGTAAATGTGGGTTCGAGCAAAGACCTAAGTTAATTTTGCCAATTACTTTTTAGAAACTGAAGTAAGAAACAACTGCTCTATACTTTTTCACCCCTTCCTTACCTTATTCATGATTTATCATCATTGTTTTGTTTAAAATGTACACTGTACAGTGTACATCCATCTATATATTTACAATTCTTATTCGCTTATAATGGGCCAACCAATCAAAACAACCAACTCTGGTTAGGCGGGTCCAAACTACATAGTAATTTGTGATTTATTATTTGTATTATCTCTTGCTTTGTAGTTGAATTAAAAAAAATATGAAAAAAAATATGAATATAAATATATTTATATATGCTTTATAATTCTAAAAAGTATGAATGAGCTAGGGAGGTACCGAAGGTAAAATCATTGTGACACTTTAAAGCCGACCCAGTCTTAAAATAAATACAAGCTTTCTGGATATATGTAAATAGAGGATAAAATTAACTTGTATTGTGTCTGTTTCTGAATAGACAGGAAATTGTTTAAACTTTAAACAAGGTGCTGAAGTGACATTTTCACGTCCAACTATAGTAAACTGCACGGAACATTGAAGAATTTTTCACGTCAAACTAAAGTAAACTGCACGGAACATTAAAGAATTTTTCACGTCAAACTAAAGTAAACTGCACGGAACATTGAAGAATTTTTCACGTCAAACTAAAGTAAATTGCACGGAACATTCAATTTTTTTTTTTTTGATAAATATATTCTATGTTAACAAAGAAACGACCATAAAGAGAAATTTTGGTTTAAACTTTTTAAGTGTTAGAGCGCATTGCGGAGAAATTGCATCAGAAGAGATACAAATTTAGAAATAAAGGTTGAAAGAGGTATTGTGCAGGGAGTTGGTTAATCCCAATCTGAAAACGAAGTTTATCTTATAATTCCAGAATTCCGTCAATTACTAACGGATTGTCAATTTTCTTTCATACAAGAAAGGTAAGAGAGTGATCGTTGTACAATAAATTGCGGTTTTGAAATGAACATTGACCATGGTTCAGTATTTCTCTCAAGGTCTCAATCTTTAACATTTTATTAAAGATGCATCAAAAGAACTTGAAAAAAAAATCTGCACTTTAATATTTCCATGGTTTTCTCGAGTTCCCCAAGCAAGATTTGAGGCAAATCGGTGAAAGGGTTCCGGAGTTATGATCGGACAAACAAATAAACACCCAAACAGAGATTTATATATAGATGTAGCATCGCTTTAAATGTTGTTTAACTCTTCATATTGTTTCTTTGCATTAATTTGTACAGAGCGTACAGTTTAAATCGTGGTTTTTTAATACTTTTAATGCTAACTAGAATTGTTTTCGAAAACAGAAAATAAGGATAACATTATGTTATCCAAGTTTTCTTCAGGAAATTAGCTCCTTTGTTATAATGAGAAAACATATTTATCACCGGAAATTATTTTGATGTGCAACATCATAATAACTCTTTTACAAAGTCATACTTTATATAAAGTGAAAAAAAGAGATTGAAGTTTGCAGCAGCATAGTGGGCCCAGTACACTGGAGCGGAGGCCAACCGAGGGAAATTATTTTCAGCGAAGGGAATGCAAAATTACAATTCAATACTATAATTACTCCACCGGAGGGATGGTATTTAACAGTTAGGACACTAATTACTCCACCGGAGGTATGGTAATAAATACTCAGGACACTAATTACTCCACCGGAGGGATGGTAATTAACATTCAGGACACTAATTACTCCACCGGAGGTATGGTAATTAACACTCAGGACACTAATTACTCCACCGGAGGTATGGTAATAAATACTCAGGACACTAATTACTCCACCGGAGGGATGGTAATTAACACTCAGGACACTATTCAATCCAGCGGAGGGATTGTAATTAACCCACCAGGACACTAATTACTCCTCTAATTACTCCATCGGAGGGGGGAACGGAATCGAAATTTCCCCCCCCCCTTCATTTTTAATTAATTAATGTTATAAAAAAATTTACCCCCCCCCCCTCTTTTGTTAAAAAATTCGTTTTAAATATTAAAGTTGTTTTAAGCTTTAATTGCAAGGTAGACAAATGTCTTACGAACGATTTTGCAGAACAAACGATTTCACTGATCAAATGTTCAGTCAAATAAAAAACGAAATAGAAGGAAAATAGAAGAAATATATATAAGGATAATTCAGTTCAGGAATGTATTCAAATTTTGATGGAACGATTGCATGCCGTTTTAAGTGAATCTATGTAAGAAAGTCCCGGGAAAAAAAGTTTCTGGGAAAAAACCTGGAAATAAAAACTTTGGAATAAAAGTCCGAATTTTCTCAAGTCTTAGAAAAAATGTCACTGGAAATAAAGTCCTGTGTTTTGGATTCCTGGGACTTTTTTTCCTAAAATACATATGGAGCCAGAAAAAAAGTCCTAGAAAATAAAGTCTCGAAATGGTAAGACTTTATTTCCGGAGACTTTTTAATAAAAGGACTTCTTTCCACAGGATTGTTTTGCCGGTTACCGTTTTAAGTATGGATACTAAAATTTATTTTTACTAGGCTTTTAGAGCGCTTCGCGCACCTCTTCTATTCAAATTGTGAACATGTTCTTTTTGTTTACATTTTAAAACAAAGAAGAAAATATTTTGCGGATTTTTAAAAAACATTCGCGGATTTTCAAGAATTTAAATTTTTTTACAAAATTAAAAACCTTTAAAACACATTTTTTAAAATTTTTATCATTCATAAACCTTCCCTGTGGTCACGTGATGTCCCAAAAAAATTTGGGCCCGATCGGTTCAGCCGTTTTGACGTTTATTGGATAGGAAAAAAACAGACAAGCTAAATTTATATGTAGATATATCAAAACCATTAAACATTTATTATGATTTAAACATAACACTAAGTGCATTAAAACATATCATTCCACACAATTTTACAAACTGGGATTTAAACATTGATATATATTTTGAAATTAAATAACATTCTAAAAATATATTTTCTTTTGAAGTTTTCAAGTTTTGTTGAAAAAATGTCACTTTCAAATTAACGATTGCTTGAGATAATCACAGATTTTGGCCCTCAATAAATTAATTATATGGAATTTTTAGCGTTGAACAATGTACAAATGTTGAGACTGCAAAGACGACCTGAAAATCTTTAAATTTGACGATTCAAGGATTTAATTCAGTATTCTGCCATGAAAATAGTCTTTCATTTTAACACAAAGAACGGAACAAATTTACAGTTGCAGGGATTTTTCGTACACAGTCCGATGTATTCTGTCGTACACAGTTATACAGCGTGAATTGGAGATGGGGACGGGGTGGCATTGAAGTTGTAAGTTAAAACGAAATAAAGAGTTAAAGGAATAATAAAAATAAATAGTGAACACTACTTCGAAATATCTTTATATCTTTGCAATCAAATGTTATAAACCTTTAATATTTAAATAGTAGTTTTAGATATCAAAGATGTACACCATCAGGTTACACAGATATAGGGAGAAAACAAAAGTGTTCAGTTCTTTTGTAAAATTATTAATTTTGATCTTTCAAATAAATTGCAGATATTAAATATAAAAAATTTGATAATATATAATTCAAATTTACAGTACTGTAGACATTACAGTACTGTACAAAGTACAGTACTGTACACAGTACAGCACTGTATGCAAAACAGCACTGTACACAATATAGTCCTGTACATAATATAGTACTGTACAGTGTACAGTGTGAACAGTACAGTGCTGTACACAATACAGCACTGTACAAAATATAGCACTGTACAGTGTACAGTTACAGTGTACACATTACAATACTGTACACAAAACATTTCACAAGTAAAACAAAGAGCAACATTCTTCATTACACTTATCATAAGATTTTCAACATAACATTTCACAAGTAAAACAAAGAGCAACATTCTTCATTACACTTATCATAAGATTTTCTATTGTTTCTCTCCTACCTAATGGTATTTAGTCAGAGATTGAAAATTTAATATTTGATGGAATTCAAATTAAAAGATTCCAACATTGAAATGTCATTTTACTAATGGCCAAGCCTTACAAAATTACTTGATGACAAAGCGTTTTTTTCTGTTCCAATAACTTTTACAAATAAAGATTTGAATTGAAATGGCTAAAAAAGCAATAAAATGGATATTTAATATTTGTGCTACATTGAAAAAATTGTATTTTAAGATACGACGTAGTAAAGAGTTCAAAGCTAATCAAAGCTTAACAAAAAGGCGAAAAATCACTCATGCAGTTTGTTGTAGTCCCGCATCAAAAATTTTTAATTTTTATTTCTTTTATAGAGAACGAAAAACTAATTTACAGTGTGGCGTGTACGGTGTACAGTGTACTATACAGTGTATATTGTAAAGTGTACAGAGTACAGTGTACTGTGTACAGTGTACAGTGTACAGTGTACAGAGTACAGAGTACAGTGTAAAGTGTAAAGTGTAAAGTGTAAAGTGTAAAGTGTAAAGTGTAAGGTGTAAAGTGTACAGTGTACAGTGTACAGTGTACAGTGTACAGTGTACAGTGTACAGTGTACAGTGTACAGTGTACAGTGTACAGTGTACTATGTACAACAATGTACAAGATACTATTCTAGAGGAGATTATCGTTTGATGATAAAAAATATTTTCGTTTTTAAACTATAAAAAGCGGTAAAAAACTGCATGTTAAAAATAGCTTACTTTTAAGATTTAAAGAAGAAGAAATTATGATAGATTTTTCAACTTCTTTAGATATCTTCAATAGTTAGTTGAATTTTAAACCTTTACTTTTATAGAATTTACATTAATTCTACGACAAGCTTATAACAATACATTATAAATTGTATTTTGTACGCCAAATAACATACAGTACATTATATATGCGAGGGTACAAACAGTACACACTACAGAGTACAGATATACTTCGGTTAGATATTAGTACAAATATTGGAATCAAGCCTAAAGTGTCTCCAGTATAGATTCTATTATAATCTAGATAGACAAGATCCATATTCCATATGGGTAAAAAACATTTACGTAAGAAATGTGTTACAATTTTTTTTGAGATTTTTGAATTTAGAGAACATGGAATTTTTAATATACTGATTCTTTGATTTTTAGAAGCTTTTTTAGACAGCTATATCCTAGATAAGAAAGCTGTATCCTAGATAAGACAGCTATATCCTAGATAGGACTGCTGTATCCTAGATTTAACATCTGTATCCTTGATTATAAAGCTGTATCCTAAATTAGACAGTTGTATTCCTGATTAGACAGCTATATCCTAGATTAAACTGCTGCATCCTGGATTAGACAGCTGTATCCTGGATTAGACAGCTGTATCCTTATTTAGACAGCTGTATCCTGGATTAGACAGTAGTGTCATGGATTAGACAGCTGTATCCTGGATTAGACAGCTGTATCCTGGATTAGACAGCTGTATCCTGGATTAGACAGCTGTATCTTGGATTTCCACCACGAAACGAAGACTCTTCTTTCCCCCAGAAGATGAAGATCCGATCTAAATAAAAAATATTGAGATGAAAACATTAGAATTGTGGATACCGAGATCAATACATGATCCTCTTTTTTTCTCAATCTTCAGATGAATAAATAATGCTTGTTATCCCCTTGGGAATGGGATTAAGGATATCCCATTCTAAAGTTTTCAGTTCTGATATAATTAGACTCCAAAGCTAAAAACTTTAGATATCCTTCCTAGGGGTTTATAATTCCCCTGGAGGGATCCGGATATCCTCCCTAGGGGTATATAATTCCACTGGAGGGATTCAGATATCCTTCCTAGGGTATATAATTCCACTGGAGGGATTCGGATATCCTTCCTAGGGGTATATAATTCCACTGGAGGGATTCAGATATCCTTCCTAGGGGTATATAATTCCACTGGAGGGAATCGGATATCCTTCCTAGGGGTTTATAATTCCACTGGAGGGATTCGGATATCCTTCCTATGGGTATATAATTCCACTGGAGGGATTCGGATATCCTTCCTAGGGGTATATAATTCCACTGGAGGGATTCAGATATCCTTCCTAGGGTATATAATTCCACTGGAGGGATTCGGATATCCTTCCTAGGGTATAAAATTTCACTGGAGGGATTCGGATATCCTTCCTAGGGTATATAATTCCACTGGAGGGATTCAGATATCCTTCCTAGGGTATATAATTCCACTGAAGGGAATTTATTTATTTATTGTCTGCAAGAGTTTTCAAGTTTTTATATTTTGATACCACATTTGTGTCGTCGGCAAAGAATCGTAGATTCCTTCACCTTTTATCACCAAACACTAATTATGTCCTTAGAAACACATTTCACGTGTGAGAGAGCTCATCTGTAAACGTACATCCTAATGCACATTATACACTGCTACTACAACTGTCCGAATATAACGTTACTATTTAACCTGCTACTACAACCAGTTGGCGTGATCCATAGTAATGGAGCCAGTGCTCCCTGTTTTACAAAAGGAAAATTTTCAAAATTGTATTACTAAGGTGAAATTTTGGATGTGCATCAGCCTTACCACGGGGCTGCTATACAGTATTCATGAATTATTTGTATTGCAAAGTTTTTTATTTTATTTTATTTTCAAAGCTATATATGTTTGCAAATTAACATGTTTCACTTTTATTCTATCCTATTATAAAGCTTGATAACTAACCACCACTACCCTAGGATGATCATTTTAGGTATTATATCCAATAGTTCAAAAAAGGTTTTTTGGGGAGAATTTTTCTTGCCTGGTTCATTGGATCCATAATTTACCAGATTCTTAATTCAAAATAGAACTGATAGGCTGATGATGAAGGATTCTTCTAAGGCCTTCTACGAAAGTAGAACCTAACCATTTCCTACTGTAACGTTACTATTTACACCGCTAATACAACTTTCCTAATGTAACATTTCTATTTACACCACTACTGCAATTGTCCTAATGTAACGTTACTATTTACACCGCTAATACAACTTTCCTAATGTAACGTTACTATTTACACCACTACTACAATTGTCCTAATGTAACGTTACTATTTACACCCCTACTACAACTGTCCTAATGCTAAATTACTATTTACATTGTAAACCATACTTGGTTCATACTGTATTCAAGTGAAGACTTGATTTTAACTTATGGATCTTTATAAATTAAAAGTTTTACGTTGTCTTTACAGTCTTATGCTCTTTGGTTAACCTTGTTTTTAATTTATGTAAATTATATATATGTGTAGAATGCAAATTTAATTATAATCTACCTCTCTCGGTAATGGAACACATGCAAGACTGTGGCTCTCAGTGTAAACAGCTCTATACAAAAAGTATTGTCAGAAACAGAAATTAAGGAAATTAAGTCTTACTAAAAAATCACAACCCCTATATCTTAGTAACCAGTGGTGTAAACATTTGAAATTTCAAACTTTGACTGTTTGATTTAGCAGAATTCATAGTTTGAAATATCAAAGGTGCTACGACATTGAATTAAAGATATATAGGATTTAGAAAAACAGAGTTTGTGTTAAAAACTCAACTCCAGTATTAGAATTATGAATTTTGAAAAAAGTGTAATCCACAAATGAACAAAGAATAAAATATGCGAAATCTTAAAACGCTTAAGTAATTTCTAAAATAGTATGATTTAAAAGGTTTTCACCCATGCACTTTTTAAACCTCTAAAAAAACTTTCTCCGATCAACTGAAAGCTGAAAAATATTATGCCATTTAATCACAGAACTAAAATTGAACTAAAATTAAATAAAATATTTTTCTTTAAAAAAATATATATATAGCCAATTAAGCTAAATCAATGTAAAAAATAAAAAATTAAACTTTGTGAGAAACCCAACAGGAACATATAACTAGAAAACCAGGAACATGGAACTAGAAAACCAGGAACATGGAACTAGAAAACCAGGAACATGGAACTAGAAAACCAGGAACATTGAACTAGAAAACCAGGAACATGGAACTAGAAAACCGACGTTGTCTTTCACATTATTGATCATTATTTTAAGGGGTATACAGCAAAAAAATTAAAATCTTTAGATGAAAGGTCCCTTGAAATTATATCGACAGTCCTTTTAACAGGCACGAACAAAATACTATAAGAGAGATTTTACACTACAGCCCCCCCCCCTGTATACGCCCCTGGACCAATAAATGCTTACATTTCACGCCGATTTGCGGCTTTCTTAATATAAGTATTAGTTAAGGTTGGGGAGGTGCGGGTTGCCCCGGTTTCATCTCGAGGGTTCTGAGGTCGTCTTCTTCTCAGTAGACCAAGCAGAGCTCGCCTGAACACAAGACACTCATTCAGTGATTCTCATTAATATACGGAAGTGGTGTTCGACATGAAAGGGAGTGTTTGCGAATAATGAAAGGGGGTATATGCTTACGCCAATAAATAAAATCTGCCAAATTTTACTAGTGCAGAAATCTACTTAAAACTAGCTATATTATTAAAAAGGAATCTACCTAAAATCAGCTCTATTATTACGAAGGAATCTACCTGAATTTGGTCCCCCAGACCACGTATACGAGAAAGTTAGCTGAAGAGTTGAAGGATAAGCAAACATGAGCAATCATTGAGATTATAGAGACAGATCCAGGTACCTCATTCCAGCAGTCAGGAGGTGAACTAGTTAGATAGATAGATAGATAGATAGATAGATAGATAGATAGATAGATAGATAGATAGATAGATAGATAGATAGATAGATAGATAGATAGATAGATAGATAGATAGATAGATAGATAGATAGATAGATAGATAGATAGATAGATAGATAGATAGATAGATTAATAAGATTAATAGATAGATAGATGGATACTTTAGCGGATGAAAATCCCTGAAAGGGTATTATAAAATCCGCCGGTCAGTCAGTTGGATTCTGGAACCAGAACGGACCTACCCATCTGTCTTTTAACACTCGTTATTCATAATTATTTCTGTCTACATGCAAAACGTACTTATAAAGTGCTTACAGAATTCTACACTACTGATTTTATAATCCCCTTTCGAAATTTTCATCTGCTATATTTAGGGTGTCCCAAAAACATGGGAATTCAGTGACGAATTCGATATCGTCTTTGTTATGTATTAGTATTTTAATACCTAATTTCAAAAGCCATAATTATATTATGTCTGTAGCTAGAGTTTATTTTCTTTAAAGGGTAAAAGACTGCAAAGATGTGTCTATTATGTGTCCGCAAGATGAACAGTGAAGAGGGACAAGTTTACTCTGTTTATATACTGTAATTTTCTTGTTTTACTAAGTACATCCGTATGCAGTCAAAACATAAATAAACAAAATGTGAACATAGCAGACGAAACTCTTACAAATTACATCTTTCCCAGTAGGTATCACTAAACTAAATCAAAGAATTATTTGAAAGACGATATTGAATTCGTCACTGAATTCCCATGTTTATTGGGACACCCTGCACAATAGATAGATAGATAAATTAATATGTGTAGAAATTGCCTCTTTAAGCTTTATAAGTTATTAGAAGTTTGTCATTCAAAAGTGTGTCGAATTTATCTAACTGAAATTTGCATGTAAATGATGGAAAAAATTCAACTGTATAAGAAGTTGGATTGAAGACGACAATTGTAGATTTCTTACAAAAGTTGGATTGAAGACGACAATTGTAGATTTTTTACAAAAGTTGGATTGAAGACGACAATTGTAGATTTCTTACAAAAATTGGATTGAAGACGACAATTGTAGATTTCTTAGATTTACCTTTTTCCAGTAGCACACAGGACGACCTCCACTATATCAGGGACCAACTTGAAGCTCTGGGTGATGATGAACAGAAAGACGACCAGGACCAGAACCGTTACCATCCTACTCTCCTAAATACAACAATATATATCAAAGGGACTGGTCGCGAAGAATGATTGGATATATTTTCATTTTTAAAATTTTGAACTTTTAACATTTATAATTTTCAAACGAACTAGAGAAAAATCTTCACAATGATCCCTTTACAGAAATTCAAAATATTTTGATTAAATAAAACAGCTGAAAGGTTCTGAGAGGGTTTAAAAAGAAATCTATTTCTTTTAAAGTATAAACGTGATAAACGTGATAAAACATTTTATTCAAAAGATAAAATTCCAAAATGCTGTCTTGTTTTGAAAAAAAAAATAATATAATTTTTGATTTTGTTTCTGTGAGACTTCATAAAAATTTTAAATGACAAATTGTTTTTCAGGTTTTGTTGGTTATGAAAATTCATAAAAATTTAATTTACATTTTTCTCTGTTTAATAAGAAAATTATTTTTCTAGGCGTTTCAAAATGGGTCATTTAAAATAAGGTATATATGGTAAAAATCAGGCTCATCAAATTTGGAATATTCCAATTGGGATTAAGCCATTGATAATAGCCAAGTTGGTTGGGAAAATTAGATTGGGATTTTTCCGATTGGATTTGGAAGTTGGGAATCCTCAAGTTAGTTGGGAAAACAGATTGGGAATATTTCAATTGGGATTTGGAAGTTTCCGGAAATATTTTTCAATAACAAACTTTGTTTAAAATACCTGCCGTGCCGTGTTATTCCGCTGTTCTCCAGAAAACTGGGAAGACGACTTTTTGGCGCTAAAATTAGAAGAAAAAATAGTTTAAACGTTGTATCCGTTATACTAACAACATAAAACTTTGTTATGAAAATGTTAAGAATAAAACCACACTATCCAAAAATATACATTTGCCAATTGGGCTCCGTAAAATAAACAATTATGAATTTTAAGATGACTTATCTTTGGTTAAGAATGATTTAAGATCTGTAAGACTGTTTCGTCTGATAAGGTCAATTCCCGTGTTTATCAGAACACACTGTAGGGGTGTTATGGGGGGGGGGCATTCTTGGAAAAGTTTATGCGCATCTAGAGAGAATTGACAGCTCTAAGTCTTTCAGGGTTGCTTGTCTGTCTGTTTGTGTGTTTGTAACCAATAAAAGTCGATAAACTGTTAGGGCCCAAATTTTTGGGTGACTTTACGTAACCCCTATAGGAAGGTTTATGGATGCTCAGAAAAAACAAAAAAATGGCAAAAGCAACAATTAAAAGTTGAAAAAAAGATGGTCGCGAAGCGCCCTGATCCCTCTATGACGTAAACATGAGAAAATAAATCTTTTAAATTCTATGATGAGGAAGGGGGACGGGGGGGGGGGAATAAAAAAATTGCTTACTAAATAATGATTACAGTGTTGAGTACTGCCATGAGTATATACGGAATGAGTTCAACCAAAACCAGTTTGAACCAGAGTATGTACACCTTCACGTACATAGGGTTCTAAAAGTACATATTTGTCACAATTGATTCAAAAAAAGATTACATTTGATAAATTTCAACATTTTGATTTATGGTGTCTAATAAAAGTATTTTCATTGAAACGTACAATTTAAAGAAGAAAAATATTCATAAAATAATTAGGGCCATCTTCTTTTAATCCAATTTTGCTGGAGGATGATGATTAAAACAGAAATCATGAAATGTTCCAAGTGTCCTGGCATATTCAAAAATTGTCTAAACAAATTATTTTGATGATTTCTTAAAACAAAAAAAAATGTTAATCTTAACATTTTACAAATATTGTATTTCTGGGCTAAATACTTTTCAAGATTCAATCAAAGAGAATAGAATATATATTAGAGGGGAATTTACTATAAAAAAGTGTAAAACGGCCATTTTGTTGTACTGTTTCAATACTGCAGGTATACGTCATATATTTATGCTATATAACCTTTTGGACCCTGGAATATCATTTCATAGAAAATCTAAAATTAACATTAAAAGAAAACCAAATTATGAAATAGGGTGGTTTCATAATTGACCAATGATCATTTCACATAGACTTTACTTTACTTTACTTTCACTTTACAAACGATGATTTTCCGTTATAACTATAAATCAAATGATGTTTTTTATTCACCTAATTCATTATAAAGTTTATTTAACAGTTATAAAAAATTCGAAATTGAAATGGATAGTCTAGGGAACATACTGTTGTGAACCATATCCCATAAACTACCCTGTTGTAAAAGTCGTCTTTGACAAACTACATCTCCGTCAGACCTCCGCCCACTTTCTTCTCCAAACCAAATACTGTTCAAGGTTTCTGCATAAACGTAAACAAAATCCTCGTGCAACAATAAGATTTAAATTCGTAAAAAAAACTCCTGCTTCGAGTTGCATTGCTTTAGCTCCTATTTATCTCCATTTCGAGCCTATATCCTTTTGTTTGGTTCACAACTGTATTAATGTACTCTACTGCATATAATTTGTGAACATTTACATGATTTATATACTTTGAACTCCCTTTCAGGCTGAAAGGGACTGAAAAAATTTCTACCGAGAGATTCTTTAAATTCTTCTCTAATATATATTCTATTCTCTTTGACTTCAATCCATGTTTTCAACCTTTTAGCTTTTAATTTTTACGTGTTTTTAAGATTGAAATTAACTTAATCTCTTTTTGACTCTTTTAAAAGTTCAAAAATAATTTAGATCACTTGTAGAATAGCAAAAGCATTTATTTGTGTTTACTGATATTTATTTCAGAAACCTTTCTCAAGAAATATGACTCACGAGTCACGGCGTAGAAATTAATATGAAGAAAATGTAAATTTTACGAATTATTTGTGTGTTTGTTTTTCTCCAAAGATCTCGATTAAAATTCATTAAATCCCCAATTAAACTTAAATTTTAATATTATCGAGACAATCAAAATATAAAAAGTTTATAGTTTCACGATGATAAGAAATTTAAATTTTGTTTTTTGTTTTTCGGAATATCAATAATATCTAATAATCAATAATTTGTTTTTTGATTTAAAAATCTCACCAATCTTAGCTCGGTAGGTTGGAGCTTCCAGGCTGAATAATAATAACAATAAGGATAATAATAATAATAATATTAATAATTATGATTATAATAATAATAATAATAATAATAATAATAATAGTAATAATATAGTAATTATTTATTATGAAATATAACAAAAACTTACAAAGTTTAGAGTTTCAGGAGAAAAAAAAATTTAAAAGGAGGTTGTGCGAATATTTCTCCCGATTCTAGAAAAAAAAGAAATGACAGGATAAGGAAAGTTCCATATTTATTTTTAACATTACATTTAATATAACTGGTGGTGGATTGTTAGTACTTTTCGAGTATGAACTAACAACTTTTAAAAATAAAAATTATTTATCTTTTATGTTGAAAATTAAAATAAGCTTTAAGGGTTGTGAAATAGATATAGATTCTACACAAAACGAGCATTTTTAAGTATCCACGAAAAAAAAACAGATTAAAAATTGGAGTTTCCGAAAGAAAAAAAATAATCAGAACTAAAATAAGTATTTTGATAAAGTTTACAATAAAAAGAGGAAAGATTTGTGTTTTTATAAAGTAGTTGTATGAGGTGTGTTAAGCACTATAATGACTTATAGCACGAAGGTACAATTATGTGATCCATATTATAACCTTACACAGTGTATCATTTACTCTCAGACAAATCAAAATCAATGGAAATTTAAACCCCCGAGGGATTCAATGATAAACCCGAGTGCTTGCGGATTTTGCGGATTTTTTTGCCTTTCTAGATTTTCAAAGTATCTTTCAATGAAAATATCCCGGCGGGATTAAATGAAAATTGTTGCATATCAAAAAACCAGCTTTTTATAAAGGAATGCTTATTGATTGATTGTATTTAGTTTGAGAGAATTTTTATCCCGCATTTTTAATCAAAATTTCAAGATCTTATAACGTCAAAGCAGGGTTTCCTTTAAATTTCGCGGATGAAAAAAGTCGCACATTTTTATGAAACTTGAATTACATAAATTTATATATTCAACTGCCTTGTGTATCAATTGAGAAATATTGTGTTAGTGTTCTGATTTTTACTTGTTTGCTTGTTTTCGGTTTAAATTCAAGATTTTTAACCTTAAACAAAGAAAAAAATTAAATATTACGTCAAAAAAAAAAAAAATTATCCCACATCATAACACAAGACTGTTGCATAAAAAGATAATATTTCAGCGAGGTTACAATGTTAAACTGCGGATTTATGCTGCCGAGACAATTGGAGGAAAATTTTGGGAATTAAACACTTTTCAAGATAGAGAAACTACGATATAATTGGAATGACGGTGGACTAAGCCAGTGGGGTCGGTCAAATAGGCCTAGGTTAGGTACTGTAAAGTCTGAACGCGCCATGGGAGTTATCTCAGTTAGCCCTCCGACGGGACCACGGCCCGCTTATATGTATGCTTCTATCTACCGATCTATACTATTCTGGGCTAGTGTACATGTAACTTTGTCGGTGGGCTACACAGCTGTTATATCTACGTGTACCCTAGATATTTTTAGGAAATTTCTAAATCCTGTGCATAGCAAATTTTAGGTTTTATTATAACAAATTTTTATTCTGGTTATTGTTCATTCTATAAAAATAATTTGTACTTTTAAAAAGTTTGAAGTGAAGTTCAGGGTCCAAATTAGAGAAGAACTTTGGTAGATAGTGGGCCCTGGAGTAAGCAGAAATTTTATACTGCAGCCAAAATCTTGTGAACATAGCATTTTCTTCAAAGAGTTGGTAGCATCAAAGGCGCCTTGTTTTAAGAATTCCAAAATGTGGTCTGCCGTTGTTGTACCTTAAGAATTGACCAAGATATTGAGAAATTTGTTTAAAATTCAAAATATTAAATATAAGTAAGGTTGTTTAAATCTTTAGTATCTCCAACGTTTTTATAATACAAAGAAGGAGGCTAAATCTTATCAAGTTTTAAAGACTTACAATGTTTTTCTTTACTCCTTTGACATCTATTAACTTTACGAAAACCAAAGACAAATTGTAAGTTCCAGGGTCCAAAGTCTAACGTACTGCATAACACCCCAGCGAAAAAATTACATCAAACCTTGACTATGATATATCCATTCTATTATATATCCATGGACGGGACTATGCCAAGAAAATTGACCCCTGTCGTATGTTAGTCTGGTTAGGGCGACGTACTGTACGATAGGATCGGGTCAGTACACGTTGTTATCTGGCAGGCCGGTAAAAACTGGGCAGGTCCTGTTCAAATTTAAATTTACTACGGCCCAGAGTGGAATGCCTTGGTTACTAAAAATGACATCTATGCACCCTTTAAAATCCTCCTGTCACCTGGGAATGTTGTAACAGATTGAGAAGATTATGGAGAACTTGATCAGACAACTTTTAACCATTTTCTTTTTGGCAAAGAACGGTTTTGTGATCGCGACATATCTCTCAACAGAGATAGACAGGGTGAGCAGTGCCGATCCAATCCTAAAAACAAACAAAATAATACTTTCTACAGTATTATTACAATATTACATACTCCATCTTCATTTTCCTTGTTGGATAATATTACATACTCCATCTTCATTTTCCTTGTTGGATAATATTACATACTCCATCTTCATTTTCCTTGTAGGATAATATTACATACTCCATCTTCATTTTCCTTGTAGGATAATATTACATACTCCATCTTCATTTTCCTTGTTGGATAATATTACATACTCCATCTTCATTTTCCTTGTAGGATAATATTACATACTCCATCTTCATTTTCCTTGTAGGATAATATTACATACNAATTTAGAAGATGGGCGCGAAGCGCCCTATAAGGCTAGTATTACATACTCCATCTTTATTTTCCTTGTAGGATAATATTACTGCATACAACATCTTCATTTTCCTTGTAGGATAATATTACATACAACATCTTCATTTTCCTTGTAGGATAATATTACATACTCCATATTCATTTTCCTTGTAGGATAATATTACATACAACATCTACATTTTCCTTGTAGGATAATATTACATACAACATCTTCATTTTCCTTGTTGGATAATATTACATACAACATTTTAATTTTCAAGTTGTTGATATTCAAATATTTCAAATGTTTAAATTATTTTCAAAATTCTGCAATTTCCTTGAAGCAAGTTTGTTCGCAAAAATGTTGAGCATTCTCTCGCTTAAAATTTAGGAAATGATTAAAAAGAAAATTTTCCAAAAATAAAATGGCCCCATTATATTGCAGGCATTCAGACTAAAACGAACTGTACGGAAGTATTTAGATCAATTTATCAACTATAAAAATCAACCAACTCAACTTAGAATCTGCTCAAAAACAAGCTAAGAACATTCCTTTGGGAAAATCACAAAAATTTCAATAGAATGGGATCTTTTTGTGGTGTACTGTACCGGTTGGCCTTACATAGTCTGTACTTGTAATGTACTTGTACAGCTTGCTCTAGCTAGTTCAAAGTCAGTACTGTACTTGTACAGCTTGCTCTAGCTAGTTAAAAGTCAGTACTGTACAATTGTAGAGCTTGCTCTAGCTAGTTCAAAGTCAAAACTGTACTTGTACATCTTGCTCTAGCTAGTTAAAAGTCAGTACGGTACATGTACAGCTTTCTCTAGCTAGTTAAAAGTCAGTACTGTACAATTGTACAGCTTGCTCTATGCTAGTTAAAAGTTAGTACTGTACTTGTACAGCTTGCTCTAGCTAGTTAAAAGTTAGTACTTTACAATTGTACAGCTTGGTCTAGCTAATTAAAAGTCAGTACGGTACTTGTACAGCTTGTTTTAGTTAGTTAAAAGTCAGTACGGTACTTGTACAGCTTGCTCTAGCTAGTTAAAAGTCAGTACTGTACTTGTACAGCTTGCTCTAGCTAGTTAAAAGTCAGTACTGTACTTGTACAGCTTGTTCTAGCTAATTAAAAGTCAGTACTGTACTTGTACAGCTTGTTCTAGCTAATTAAAAGTCAGTACTGTACTTGTACAGCTTGTTCTAGCTAATTAAAAGTCAGTACTGTACTTGTACAGCTTGTTCTAGCTAATTAAAAGTCAGTACTGTACTTGTACAGCGTGCTCCAGCTAGTTAAAAGTCAGTACAGTACTTGTGCAGCTTGCTCTAGATAGTTAAAAGTCAGTACTGTACTTGTACAGCTTGCTCCAGCTAGTTAAAAGTCAGTATGGTACTTGTACAGCTTGCTCTAGCTAGTTAAAAGTCAGTACTGTACTTGTACAGCTTGCTCTAGCTAGTTAAAAGTCAGTGCTGTACTTGTACAGCTTGCTCTAGCTAGTTAAAAGTCAGTACCGTACTTGTACAGCTTGCTCTAGCTAGTTAAAAGTCAGTACTGTAATTGTAATGAAAAGGAGCGTACAATAAAATTACACTCAACTAATCAATGAATTAAGCAATAAATTAATAAATTAATCGATCAATAATAAATCAATTCACCAATTAATCAATCTACTAATCAGTCAATCAGATATAGATCAATTCATTAATCAATCAGTCTACCAATCAGTCAACTAATCGAACTATGAATCCTGTACCTGCTAATGTGTGCCAGGGCATAGAAGATTGGTAGAAACCAGACATGATAGGTCTCCCTGGATAATATATATATAAAAATATTTATAATCAATTTATCATTCAATCAAAAAAACAGATTTATATCCACAGACACGGCGTTTCAGTGATATTTCTGGGGGGGGGGAAGGAAGTGAAAGTTNGGAGGGTTTAAGATAAAGAATTACGGATGGGGTATTGTATGCATGAGGGATTATATATATAAATTTATATACATAATACAAGTGTAGACACAAAATTCCTACTTTCATCTCTACGATTAATCTATTGTATATCGTGTAAATGTTAAATATGTGAAATTGTGACTGAATGTGATATTTTCGTTGATACTGCAGCAATGTATCTTTTTTAACCCAGTTCATTTTGTGAAAATGCGGAATTGTAATTTTGGAAAATCCGCAATTATGCTGCTGATAAATGTCAAACATAAAACATGAAATTGTCCAGCAATAACCTATCTAAATAAACATTAGAAAATGTTCTAGACTTATTTTGAGAAGATATATATTATATATATATACATATATGTATATTTATATATATATATATAATACATATATATTTCAAGAATGTCAAAATAATTTGTCTCCAAAAACAGGCTTAGATATATTTGTGACTTGCTTGTTACAAAACATGACTTAGGTATAGTTTGTCTCAGAGTTATGGCTTAGAAAGTGTCTTAGACATCATTTGGTCTAAAAAGTATGGCTGTGATGTAATTGCGACTTAGAACTGTGACAAACAATGTTTATTATACATAATTGAGCCCAAAAAATAATGTGACTTAGACATGATCGGGACTGTGAAGGTGTTTATTTTTAACTCAGAAAGTGTCGTAGTCAAACCTGTGACTTAGAAAGTGTCTTAGACACAAATTGGTCTGAAAGTAAGACTTTGAAAATATTATGACTTTGAACTGTGACTTAGAATAGGCCTTGAATATAATTAAGCCAGACACTCTGTGAATTAGACATAAGTGTGACTGAAACGGTTTTTCAGACCTTATAAAGACTTAGAATTGTGAGTTACAATGGGTCTTAAACACAAAGAAGCCTAAAAACATGACTTAGACTTAGTTTTGAGTTAGAATTGAGCCTTACAATATGTCTAAGACATAGTTGTTTTAGAATGTGTCTAATGCATACTTGTGACTTAGAGAGTGTCTTTATAGACATAATTGTGAGTTAGAGTGTCTTGGACATAATTGTGACTTAGATTGAGTCTTAGACATAAGCATGTCTTACCATGACTTAGACATGGGTTCGAGTTAGAATTGGGACTTAGAATGTGTCTTAAAGTGTGACTTAGAAAAGTGTCTTCTACATAATTATGTCTTATGAGTTTGTCTTTAAATGGGTCTTATTCATAATCGTGCATTGGAATAGTCTTTGACAAAGTTATGACTTCTGAGCTTCTGAGACATAATTTGGTCTCAAAAGTATGGTTTTATCTTAATTGTGGCTTAGAATGTGTCTTAGACATACGCATGTCTCCAAATTAAGAATTTTTCTTAGAATTGTGATTTAGCAAGCATGAAGTTCATTGTGACTTGGAATATGAGGCCGCCATCAATTCCCCCCCCCCCCTCCCCTAAACGTCCACCCCTTCATTCAAAATATGTTAAAGAAATACCAAAGGGTTTTATATTCCAAAATCAGTGACAGTTTTGATGCTTAAACATTTTCAAAAAGGACAGTTGAGTTGAAGTTAAGAGATTTCCAAGGGTTGGGTTATGCTAGGTTGCGCAAATATATATATATATATATATTTATATAGCCAAAGGGGAAAAAGTTAGTTAAGAAAACATTTTTTTCTACTCAGATCTTAATTTCTAACGAAAGCAATTTTCTATTTACATTTAATAACAGATTAGGAAAATCTTTTTTTTCTAACGCGGCATCCTTACCTTTCTTAAAATTTCTAAAAATATAACTTCTCCATAAGAAATTTAAATATTGTTGTGTTAGCACTTAAGACGAAGATAATGTGAGAGAGGGGGTGTTATGTATTAATTACAAGCTAACTGAATTACCAAAATCGAATTATCGTTTAATGGGGACCACTGCACGGCAGTTGACTTTGAATTTGAATATGGTTTATTTTCTCATTTCGATTCATCTTCAGAGCTTGAAACTGTAATATATATATGTAAATAGAAAATTGCTTTCGTTAGAAATTAAGATCTGAATAGAAAAAAATGTTTTGTTAACCTAACTTTTTCCCCTTTGGCTTCTCAACCCCACCCCATACAATGGGGTATCAGGGGGGGGAAGCAATTTTGAGTTTACACCATGCATAAGCCTCTTATTAGAGTCAAATAAGGCTCGGTCGCTTGAGTATTTTTGTTTGAGAGAAGTCTTTGAGTCCTTGTAATGTTGAAATCCGAAGCAAAACTGGTCATTTCCGTGAAAACACTTAATATGGGTATTTTAAACACGAATCAGAGACAAACCTATTACTTTGGCGTGCTGCCGACGCCCCAACATATTTTGATAATGGTTTTTATAATCCATCAATATATCCAGATTATCCTGAATCCGTAGTAAATTTGTGTAAAAAAGTATATGTATTTTCCCCAAAATAGTTCGCTTTAACAAAGACGACATTTTTAATATATTGCGGATTTACAGGATCCATTCAAGGATAAGTATATGAACGGAAAAAGTAATTATAAATTAAAATCATTAAAAATCAATGCTAGCTACAATTCATACAATGTTTGTAAATGAAAAGATTATCGGAATATATTCATTTTGTCCATTCTCACCATGAAACACAAGACAAATGCATTTTAAGAGGAGTATAGTAACAAAAACCAGCCCCCCCTGACCCCCTATAATACCCTAAAAATAGGTTTAGTATAGGTTTACTAAATATCTGTGGGTTTAGTAGAGGTCTCTTATCTGTAGTTTTAGTGTACTAAATATCTGTAGTTTTAGTGTACTAAATATCTCTAGGTTAAGTATACTACTTACTTACTTACTAAATATATCTGTAGGTTTAGTATACTAAATATCTGTAGGTTTAGTATACTAAATATCTGTAGGTTTAGTATAATAAATATCTCTAGGTTTAGTAGAGGTTTACTAAATATCTGTAGGTTAAGTATAGGTTTACTAAATATCAATAGGCTCACTTTAGGTTTACTAAATATCTGTATGTTTAGTATAGGTTTTCTAAATATCTGTGGGTTTAGTATAGGTTTACTAAATATCTGTAGGTTTAGTATAGGTTTACTAAATATCTGTAGGTTTAGTAGAAGTTTACTAAATATCTGTAGGTTAAGTATAGGTTTACTAAATACCAATAGGCTCATTATAGGTTTAGTAGAGGTTTACCTGTAGGTTTCTGAAAGATTTGGAAGACCAAACACCACAGTAGAACTTATCAGATAAGCGATATCGTAACTAAGAATATTTTTCAAAAAATATTTAGGATGTTAGCCCCACATGGTGGACTATAGGGTCAATTTGAATTCGAACCGGACCGACCACTTGAACTGGTCTTAGTGACGCACGGCAAGTACTGCCTGACCCTATCCTACGTTGGCGCGGCCAGACTTTTTACAGTACCCGGCCTATCATTCATATGATGGCTATTTTACCTTACTAACCCTACCCTCGCGAGCTTAGATTAGTTAGCCCAACTTGCTATATAAAAACTTTTTATAATTTCTTCTGGATTCAAGAGAAAAGTTGTTAATGCATTTAATCAGTCTTGTGTATAACAGAAATGTTTTAGAACATTTTCTTCAAAAATTAAATAATTTTGATCAAATTTTACATTAATCTCACAAGAATGAGATTATATACTCACACACCGCGGTAAACCCCACTTTTCGGCCGGAATACCGCAGATAACTTAGTATGCACCAAAAGCTTAGTTTAGGGTGTATTTTGTGTACTGTCCTTTTTTGCCGTCCATAATCTGTATGTATCCTGCACTGTATAACTTGCCTCAGCTATTTTAAAGCTGGTACGGTATTTCAAACGAACCGAATATATATATCACATAAATTCAGACTGCTTATTAAAAGTCTTATCAATTTTTAAGACAGGGTTGAGTTTGAAGTGTCGCAACGCCTTGGGCTTCGATTTTACCTCTCTAGCTCTTTTATGCTTTTCTGTAGCCCTTTAGCACAATAAAGCCCTTGTGGTTAGCGGTTTTAAAAAAGTAATTGGAAAAATTCTCATCGATTTTTGCCTGAGAGCTTGAGACCTTTAAGTCACATTAAATATTACAGTAATGAGTGTGTGGAATCAAGAAATCACAAAGGCACCATCCATCAAAGGCACCAAAATCTTTCCCCCCAGGCGGGGGGGGGGGGGGGGGGGGGCAGAATATCGTCAACACTGAAAACTCTGGTTTATATGAAGTACCGGCTTGACTTATAAGCAAGTGCAAGTTGTGTACAGTATACAATACATCCACCATATGAACAGTATACAACGGTACTGTACAACGGTACTGTACAACGGTACTGTACAACAAATTAATCATCCCCTTCTGCTTTGCACTGATATCAATGTGTAAACAGGACATTAAAGTAGTATGCATCATTGACAAAAAAATTTAACCTGCCGGTTTGTAACAACAAATAAAACGTAAACTTTTTTTTTTTATAATATGTGGTTGTGCAAAGGTTACCTGTTGTTGCAAATTAATATTTTATGATATCTAGGAGAATAGCAAAATAAAAGAAAATAAAATAAAATTATTTTGCTGGTTTTAAATAATGCAGGACAATAAATTTCAAACTGTCAGACAAACATATTTATAATATAAATATTGCAAACGTTAAATTACAAGGCAATGCAAGGAAACAGTTCAGGCTGTTTCACAAAAAATGCCAGGATTGGGGGAATTTTGTGATTGTTATTTCAAGCCTTGTAAAATAAATTCTTTCAAAGATAATCTTCAAGTCCTCAAGCAAGTGAAGAACACCATGTATTTTAAGAAATATAAATCCCCTTGACAAAACTGACAAAAGTAAATCCTCTCAAAATCCTGATAACAATTGTTTTCTAACTTTTTCTTGGTTATGCCTGATTTACAAACATACCTTTGAAACCTTAATCCGATCAAAAATAGGAAGATACAGTAGTTTTTCTAACTTGTAAAAAGTTTATTTCTGTTAATTTCTCCATTCCTTCTTATGAGCAAGATACGCAAGTCTCTTTCCCAGAGAAACCGCAATCAAAAATAAACAGTTTTAAGAAACTTAAACTTGAATATCTAATTGTTACTTGATTATTACAAAGTTTTCAAGGAAACCGTTGTGAATCGGGCATTGCCATCTTATTCTTTGCATACACACAGTTCCGCGAAATCAACGGTGAGACGAAGCCAGCACAGTATAGGGTCGGGCCAGGCCGGTATTTGCTGCACGTCACTGAGGCCGGTACAACGGGTCGGTTAGGTTCGAATTCAAATTGACCGTATTCCACTGTGTGCACTGTGTACATCTAAGTGTATGAAGGGAAGAATAAGTTTTGGAAGGAAATGTTGGCATCATCGCTAGCCTTTTATCAAGTTACACGAACACATGATTAAAACCTAAGGACTAGCATTTTGTTCTTAATGATATACTACAGGGTGTCCCAAAAAACATGGGAATTCAGTGACGAATTGTATATCGTCCTTGTTATGAATTAGCATTGTGTTACCTAATTTCAAAAGCCATATTATTATTGTATCTGCTATAGTTTATTTTATGAAAAGGGTAAAAGACTGTAAGATGTGTCTATAATGTCTCCACAAGATGAACAGTGAAGACGGACAAGTTTACTCTGTTCGTATACTGCAATTTTCTTGTTTTACTAAGTACACCCGTATGCAGTCAAAACATAAACAAACAAAATGTGAACATAGCAGACGAAACTCTTACAGATTACAGCTTTCTTAGTTGGTATCACTTTACTAAATCAAAGAATTATTTAAAAAGACGATATCGAATTCGTCACTGAATTCCCATGTTTTTTGGGACACCCTGTATTTATCATCAAAAATAATAATGTAAATAAACCGTTTCCTACAGGTTTTTCAATAAAAAGAGAATATAAGGGAAGTTAATCATTTTATTAGAAAAGGCTTTTCAGGGTAATGTTGTGAATCAGACGTGCTTGGAACCCCCTTAATGGAACTTTACTTCTAATTATGGCTCTTTTGAAGTTTAAAGAGTCTGTAAGCGTAATGTCAAGTAACGCTCTGATCAAAGATGGCAATGTCTGATTCAGATATGAATGTTTATAATAAACACGTGACTTGCGGATTTTACTGCAGAAAAACATGAAGAAATTATCTGAACCAATCAGTTTTTAAAGAAGTGACAATATTTTCCTTATTTTTAATCAGATCTACAACTGTGAATACGGAATTGACATCTTCGCATGGAGGGTCACTTTTAACTACGCTTACAGTTACGTTACAGGTTTCAGTTTTGATTGTAAATTGCTGATGGAGCTTTATAGCTGTCAAATACTCACCCAGCAAGAATAAGAAGAAGTTGGTTAAAGCTTGATCTTCTCATTTCTGGTCTCACCAGAACCAGACAACTTCATAAACATTATCATCATCATTATCATTATCATTATTATTATTATTATCATTATCATTATTATTATTATTATTATTATCATTATCATTATCATTAGCATTATCATTATCATAATCATTATCAATATCATTATCATTATCATTAGCTTTATCATTATCTTTATCATCATTATCATTATTATTATTATTATCATTATTATTATTATTATCATTATTATTACTATTATTATCATCATTATTATTATTATCATTATCATTATTATTGTTATTATCATTATCATTATCATTATCATTATCATTATCATTAGCATTATCATTATCTTTATCATCATTATCATTATTATTATTATTATTATTATACCTACTAGGCCCACACATCCTATAATAGTTAATAGAACTCCTTCAAGCCAAAACTTGTAAACAACTTCCCAGGATTCAACATGAATCTTAGAACCCTAAACAAGTTTAGTTTACTTGTAGATATCCAATTCCTAACAGTACCCCGCAAGAAGACGACTTTTAGATTCAATATATGAATTAAAATAATCCAATATGCAAGGAATACGGTAATTGTGCAATGTAAACAGACCCATTTCACTTAATTTGTAATTTAATAAGTGGCTAGTAAACTATTTGCTTTGTAACAACATCAAATACACTTAAGTATTGCTATAAAGTCGTCTTCCTATTTCAGAGTTTTCTGGTTATCACTGTATGAGCGATGAGTTTATCATATAAATTATTATTGTGGGGGGAGTGTTCATGGAAATTTTATCCTTTTTTTGGATTTTCCACACAATTTAAGGTCATTTGTCAAATTCAAAAATGCTAAAGAAAGTTATTATTTTTTTTTTCGGATTTAGTGCAAAAACATAAATAAAATTGGAGATAAGATTTTAATCCTGCGCTGCATTTTTATTCAATGTCATTTTGCTATTCTCTTAAATTACGCAGCAGACTGATTTTTTAATTGATTACGCAGCAGACTGATTTTTTAATTAATTATTCAAATTTATCTTCAATCAAATGATTTTTCTTCAAAATGTGAAGATTTTTTCTAAAATTACTAAAATTCAATTTTTAACGATGATTAAAAATTCTTAACTTTTTCTTGGTAAGCAACATAAAAATACCCTAGTTTTCAGAAAAATATGTGATTAAAAGATAAAAGAAAAAGCACTGATTAAATGATTAATGTTAATAAATAACGAATTTCAATTGTGATTTTCAATGGAGTCTTATACATATGAAAAAAAATAAAAAAAACTGAAAATGGGACTAAGATAGAATTAAAAAAGAAAATCTTAGAGTAACTAATTTAAGATTTATTTTTATAGGAGTTTTCTTAGTTTTTTTCTATACAGCTAATTCGGAAATATGTACTTAATTCTCTCCTAAAGGGAGTGGGAAGTTTATTTCAAGTAAACCACTCTATAAGTAGCATTTCCGTTAAACAAAGATACCCTATAAAATCGTTTATCTCCAATTGTAGTTTATCTTTGAATGTAACTTGCGGAATTCTTACTAGAAAAACTAAATAAAGAAAATAGTATGAATATAATAAATATCGTAATAACCTTAATTCATGTGTCTTGTATTTGTATTTACAAATTAATTAATTTCTGACCAGACCTATCGGTCCATACTATTAACATGTACTATTAAACGCAAAATATTGATTAGTTGGATATGAACCTTTTCTTTATTACGTTTAGACGTATTTAGTTCTCGTGAAGAGAGTATAGAGTTCAAGATCGAGTTGTATCTGGATTGATACAGACTTAAGAATACAGAGAGAGTTGTATCTGGATTGATACAGACTAAAGTATTAGTTCTCGTGTAAAGAGTATAGAGTTTGAGAGGGAGTTGTATCTGGATTGATACAGACTTAAGAATACAGAGAGAGTTGTATCTGGATTGATACAGATTTAAGAATACAGCGAGAGTTGTATCTGGATTGATACAGACTAAAGTATTAATGGAGTAAGGCATTTGTTACATGAATTAAACACTTTCCTTTTGAAAGTGGGTCACTTGAAATTACAACGAAAATTACTTTAATTCTTTTAAATTTTTATTTACTTTATAGTGGTAATTTAGGATGAGTTACTAGGTACGTCGCAAAGGTGTTCATGTTCAAGCTATTCCGCATGAAATTAACTTTTTCCATATGTTTAAATTTTAGTTAATTTTGAGTTCAAGATATATTTAGAACATAAAGCCCAAAAAAGCATTTTAGAGCTTAATATAACGCGGGTAAAAATGGGTTAAAAATTAAAGCTTAATGACCCATGACCCCCTAATCTACGGGGAAATGAATTCTTTCATAAAACAAAATCATGATAATTTTATTTTTATTATCAAACCGCTTGGGAACCTAGCTTTGCATAAAAAATTAAAAATCAATCTATCAAACTTAGATTTTAAATCCAATCTAAGAACATTCTCTTGGTTCTATTTATATACACAATTAGTTCTTGGATTAGAGGGTTTCGGAGCTATAATCATCAGATAGAGATTATATCATTTTAATTATAGATTATCATGTTTCTGTTTTGTGTTTTGTTTACATATTATACCAGGAAATAATATTTCCAAGAAAATATTTAATATTTCATTATCATTTATTAATCCTAGATAGAAATTTGATAAGCTTTATTTTAAGAGCACAAAAAAATAGTTAATAATAATAGATACGAATTTTGCATTAGACATCAAGCGGCCTGACTAACGTCCTCCAAAGTACGTGAACAACATCGACACGACCACTGTTTATACATTATTATAGATAGAACGGGCTCAGTACAGAAGAATCTCTGTATTTGTACAGTCTAGGAGGGTACATTTGTTTATGTTAATTGTTTACTTTCACTGGAAGTGAAATTTTCATGCAAAGAATATAATCAGGCCCGTAGCCAGGGGGGGGTGCAAGGGTGCAGGTGCACCCCCCTTTCTTCTGAAAGGGGGCTTTGACGAATTTGCCCCCCCCCCCCCCAGTCCCATATAAAAGAAATTGTTTCTCATAATTTTCTAAAATCTAGTTACCAATAATATAGCTCAAGCAAGAGTTGATTCCCTTCTCAAACCAAATTATAATCTTATTGTGTGTTACTCATGATAATAGCCATTTTTGGGAGTTTCAAAAACATTATTTTAAGCGAGGATATTTGTCATTTTTAGTCAAAGTAGAAGGGTTTTTTGAGTACTCAAAAATTCACTAAGAATGTCTCAATGTCTCAATGTCAATAAATAAACTCTTTTAAACAAAAAATTAGAAATTTTATTTTTTATTCATCTTCATAATATCATGATGAGGCCGAGGGACAAGAAGCCTTGATTTTAAATAATGAATTTTTTCCCTAAAGTACCATTCATTTATTTTTTATGTATATTGTATATGTAAACTGAAAAGTTTCAGACACTAAAATGTAACCCTTATAAAAACTTAAATACACTTGTTAAAAAGGTTAGTCTTTATAGCGTACATTGACAATGTAATGAAGAAAACCATATACCACCGTAAAAACAAACCCAAGCTTTTTAAAAAAAAAAAAAAAAAATCACCGGCGGTGCGCTTCTTTGCACCCCCCCTTGAAAAATCCTGGTTACGGGCCTGAATATAATTTGATTAAAGTTTATAAAAAACTTCTCCTAGCTTAATTACAATTGATGACATTGTTCTGCACTTTCCTTGACTGTAGTGGTGTGTGTTTGTCTGTGCCAAAAGAGTGTGCGTCTCTAATAAGGAATCCGTCTGCAAAGCAGTGCCACTGGCTTTCTCTTGTTCCCTGACACCGTCCCGTTTTTCGTGGTATAATCTGTCTGTGTACTGTACAGCACGCTCTAGCTGGTTAGGTGTCGGACCGGTTCTTGAAATAAACCAGACTTCACAGTGAATATGTCGTCTTCTTATTCCGGATTGTTTTGGTTCGACTATTTATTTCTTTTATTATGTTTTGTAAATATTTCTATAGATTTGTGTGGATATCTGGAATAGCACCACAATCAGGGATTTAATTAACTATTGTTTGAGGTTTATTTCTTATTAGAAATATACAATACATGTAAATATATATATACATATTGTCTACATTTCAACTGTACAAATGTACAATTGTACAACTGTAAAAAAATACAACTGTGCAACTGTACAAATGTAAAATTGTACAACTGTAAAAAAATATAACTCTGCAATTGTACAAATGTAAAATTGTACAACTACACAACTTTGCAACTATGCAACTCTTCAACTGTACAACTGCAAACTGTACAATGTACATCTAAAACTGGAAAACTGCACAACTATACAAATGGATCACTGTAAACTTTGCAACTGTATAGATGCAAAATTGTACAACTGTACAATTGTGCACGTGTACAAGTGTAAAACTGTACAACTTTACAACTGTACAGTTTAAAACTTTACAATTGTACAATTGTAAAATAGTAAAATCGTAAAGCTGTACAAATGTTTAACTGCACAAGTGTACAAGTGTACAAGTGTAAAACTGTACAACTGTATAACTGCACAGTTGTAAAACTTTACAACTGTAGAATAGTAAAATTGTAAAGCTGTACAAATGTACAAGTAGAAATTTGTACAAATTTACAATGTACAACTGTATACGACTATAAATCTTTGCAACAGTACAACTGATTACAAGAACTGTGCAGCTGTACAAATGACAACGTCTGAACAACTGTAAAACTGTACAACTGTACAAATGACGACAACAACTATACATGTACTATAGAACTTACCTGATCCAATGTAAGATTAGGTCTCAGGCTTCTCTCAACTTTTAGAAATATTGCGCTAACATTCAATTCTTCCACATTTTCAACCATCTTTAAAACATGTTGTTAACACTTTTACTTATATAAAGATATAACACTTAAGATACCCCTTTACATATTGATAAAACAAGATAACCTTTTTATATTGATAACACAAGAAAACCCTTAAATACATTGATAACACAAGATAACTTTTAT